ACTCGATCCTACCTATTTGCAACATCGCAAGCGCGGCAAGTGTGAGATGCAGGCAACTTTGTTTGTTCTCAACCATGCCGCAAAACATCTATGTTTCCATGCCAGTGCAGCGTATGCGCTTGCCTGGCAACGTCGGAACGGACATTCTGGGCTTCCACTCCATAGGTCCGATGATGGGAAGAGCAACGTTCGACCTCATCCTCCCTGCATCTACTTGTGGCATTTACATGGGCGTTAAGGAATGGCGAGGAATCAAGAAATCATATTGTCGTATAGACAATCTATTCAGAAGCAACACAACTTGGTCCTATGGCTTGAACGGCGAAATGCCTCGTCCTCATTACGGCAGAGAACGGCATCAGATCCGAGCAGACACCGTCCACAACTTCGCGCTCGAGTGGAGCAGCCATTGCTTTGAAGTCTCACTCGATAACGTCGGGGTGACTAGAATTACCACAAGCGCCAACGGCATCGAGATGGCGCCTCCCTTAGCAGAAGTGTTCGTGTGGCTGTACAGGCGAACACACGCAGACGATTTCCAGCCAAGCTTCAGGTCTAAGCCATCTCCTTTATCTCACACTGCGACAGTGAAGTGCAGCATCTGCGCGCAGACGAAATGCATCACTGCAACACGTTGGAGAGTCTGCCCGACGTGTTCGACATGGATGTGCCACAGGCATGTGCTACATCACCCAGACCAATTAAGCCCTTTCTGTCCTGCTCAACTTCAGGATGCTCTCGGGGGCAGTAGCGACTACTTGTCAGTTACAGTTTCTGCTGCGGCGAAGCTTGAGTCTGACAAGTCTCCCTACGTGCACGCAGGCACATACTATAAAAAAATGCAATGGCATCTCCAATCTGATTGCAAGTTCCATGGCGTCATAAACAAGATCCTGCGCAAGCACGCTGATGTTTGGAACAACATGCCTGAGGCACTCTACTTGCTGCCTGATCCGGATGAGAAAATCAGTATGGCCAAGCGGCAGTGGGAACAAGTTCTCCACAGAGCGAGAATCATATTGGACTTGCTGCACCAAGGCCAAGACGTCGTGTTATACCATTTCATTTACGATCAGGCTCGCCGCTTGAGGCCAGATCTCGGCGACACTCTCTTGCATTGTCCTCACCCGACTTCATTTTCTTCCTCAGAAGAGTGGAGACGAGTGGCTTTGCGTTGTGCTCTGGAGATCCACGTATCGCTGGCAGAAGCTCGCTGTGAACACGCAGCCAGAGTACTCCAGAAAGTCGCAGCGTCTCCATCAATCGCGACTTGGCACTGCAGAATGTATAAGTTCTGATGCACTTTTGCTACTTGAGCGCAGCTGTATAGATTGCATTCGCTTTTGTGTGTTCATCGTTTCCCTAGCGGTCAAAGTCATTGCGTCCGCGCGACCGTGTCGAGGATCAAACCGACAAATTTGCAGACGATCTTGACGGTCTGGGTGGATCAGTGCCTGGTTGCAAATGAGAGTAGGTCCTGTTACCTTCATAAAGACATAATGTTGTTTACATTCGTTAAAATGCGACTACGCAATTATGTAAACGCACGCCTGAATCAAACCTAACCATTTGCTTAGGACGGTCAAGAATCAGACGAAGAAGCCATGGACGTTACTGATGTTTCTGCGGCAGGACTGCGAGTTGTCTTTATCATTTTCTGAAAGTGTAATATAGAAACATAGGCAGTCCTGCGCGAAGGAGGCTGGACTCACCCACTCGATTCAATTGTGGGCGCTGTTCTTCGTCGCGACCCCATACCTCCGATTTTTCAAATGCCCTCTCAGCCGGAGACCGCGTCGACGGCGTCGTTGAGTGCATGTACAGATCTGGCCAGACTCAATCACTTTCCCACCGATGAATTCTTGCGCTTTGAGTCAGAGGGACACAAGTACTTCTACAATGACGTAGTCGTCGGATGCAGCGCTACCTGGCTGGCTTGCATCTTGCCACACGCGTAGTGAAATATATACAGAGTAAGAGTTGCCATAAGGCAACCTCTTAGCGTTTCTAAGTTTTTTCGTCGAGGTTACCGCCCTGATTCACGAGTTTTCCGAAGAGTTCGACGCTACACTTGCTTTACAAAAAATGAAGTCTGGTCGAAATTGGCCTCGAAAGGAATATGTTGCGCCCGATGCAGACTTCAAACTTATTGGCGCCATGCTAATCGGCATGGACTTCTTCTACCAGGCAGATCTCGTAGAAGAGCTCAAGAAAACTCCGCCAGACCTCAGCAAGATTTGCGAATTGTTCGTTGCAAGCCGTGCGGAGCTGAACACGTGGGACGACATCATGACGCAACTCGTGCTTCACGATAACGAGATTACTGATATCTGGAATCTCAAAAGGGAAAGCGCAGCGAACTGCGGCACGTGGATGCATGCAATGCTTGAACATTTACTGAATGGCTATCAGATTTGTTCTGGCTGCATGGAGGGTGAACTTAATGCTGCTATCCGCGCACTTCAAAAGATGGGCAATGTCGAAGTATTTCGAACCGAATGGTGTGTTCATGCCCCGGAGGAGGACCTAGCTGGATCAATCGACGTCGTTCTGAAGATCAAAGATTCCAGCGAATTCATTCTACTGGACTGGAAACGCAGCGAGAAGTTGAAGGATAAGTTCAACAGTTACGGCAAAAACATGAAAGTGCCGCTGCAAGACTTGCCGGACTGTCAAGGACACCATTATCGGCTCCAATTAAACATATATCGCTGGATCTTGGAGAAGTACTACGACGTAAAAATTATCAAGATGGTAGTTGTCTGCGTGCATCCCAACTATCTTCCAGATGGCTTCGTCGACGAAGTTCCAGATCTTCAAGCATCTGTCTCGCAGCTTATGGACATCAGAAGACAACAGTTGCTCGCCAAAGCAGCGGAACCATGTGCCGATGCTGCGATTCCGCCTACTGAACCTTTTCAAGTTCGCTTGTCTGGGACTGCAGCAAATGAAGACGATCCCTTTGTTGATGAGTTTAAATCGGCTATGCGTATTCTTATGGAGAATGACGCTGACGAGGTGCCACAGGCTGCTAAGAAAAGAAGACTCATGGCAGGAGCCGATAAATCATCGGCTCAGTTCCAATCTATGTTTGAGAAGTCAAAACACTGCATAGCGTCCGAGTTGAACCACGTGACGCCCGATTTGAAACACAACAGTGAGGAGATTCTCAAGAAGACCGATCAATCGCTCTTTCAGCTCAGGCAGGCTTTTCCTACAATGTCCGAAGACCTTATGCGGCTTATGATGGTGGCCGCTTACATTTCTGAAAAGAATATTGCGGACAAGATCACACTGGCAGATGCTGCCACATTTTTGTGGCTTGTGGAGGGTGGAAGACACGTTAGAGTTCACAAGGGTTTCTTGTATATTTACAACGACGACGGCTCTTTCGTGACGTTCGGAGGAATTCCTCCTGAGGCTGTGCTTCATCGGATCTCGAATTTCTTCACTGAGTTGGAAGGAATCTACAGACGAATGAAAGACGATGTGCGCAGGGATAATCAAGCCATCGCGACTGCGATCGTGAGCGACTCTCAGAACTTTGCGAGCGAAGCTCTATTTCTAGAGAACTGTCGTCGTGCTGCCAGAAGCAAGAAAAAAGTTGAAGCGACTCCGCGTCTCGACGCGAATCCGGATGAGAAGCCTGTCTTTGATGAAGACAAGCCAAGCGATGAGTCATAGACCAATGCCTTGGCGGACAAAGCTTGGAAGATATGTTGCGCTTTGAAATTCGAGCTAATGCAGACGCGCATGTTCTCGCTTCTTGTTGAATGGTGCGAAACCGAAGACCAGCGAGAGGCAGCGAATTGCTACAATGACGTCTGCTTTGCGTATGATCGCCCAGACTCAGAGCACTACATCGAAGCAGTTAAAAAAAGTCCGACGAACAACTGCTACGTGCACATTCCACATAATCTGCTGGATCCTGTTCTCCAGTCCAATATGCAGCGCTTGGAGCGATTTTACGCACAGACATTCTGGTGCAACTTCAATGTCTTTCAATGCTTTCAAGCAGCGCTCGCGTTGGCGAAGCGGGGATTAAACATCGACAGATGTTTCATTGGCATATCTCCAGGCGGTGTTGGGCAGAGTCTGTACTCATTACATCTTTCGGAGATGTACAAGCAGCACCACGTGTTCTTCGACCCGAATGTGTGGCACATGGAAGAAGAACTTCGCAAACAGGCGGAGTCGCTGGCTAAGTGCTTTATTTTGACTGGTCAAGAGGCGCCAGAAAGTAGCAAGAAGCTTCACATTGATCTCTTCAAGAAAACTATGTCTGGAGATGGCATAATGGGCCGCAAGCCATACGGCTACACTACTCGAATGTGGCGCATCATCGCCTGGAAGCGACTCGAAATGAATAGAATGATGACCTTCGGCGGCGTCACTTCGGCCAATTTCAATTCAATGTTCAGACGTGGCTTTGTGTGGAAAGCCAAAGCTCGTTTCATACACGAGAAGTTTCTCGCCAACTACCCTGATCATGAGAAGGACGGCATCTTTGCAGCGGATCCCAGCCTCAACAAGTTTCTTGCTACCTCGCAAGCCTCCATCGCAGGGCTTCGAGTGCAATGGGCATTTGAACGTCTTCACAGTCGCGATGAATGCTATCAGTTCATCGAAAATTACTGCAACGGCGAAGACAACTACCTCACGGAAGACGTCATGAGGCAAGCCTGCAGCCTACCAATTCGGCAAAGACAAGTGCAAGAGGAGCAGGATCTGGGCCTTGCTGCTGTGCTGGAAGCCGATGCTGAAAGCCAAAAGGAACGAGATGAAAAAGGCAACGAGTGGGACAATTTACGACAATTCCTGTTCGACACCATGCTTTCTTCTGGCATGGAGTTGCTGACGTATCACGAGTTCAGGAAGCTGACCTTGAAGAACGCAGGAATTCCAAACCAAACAAAAGAAGCATTGTGGGATTCAGTGGAATCGCAGTGCGTGCTTCGACCTGGCATCATCAAGCACAAGACGAGCAAAGTGAAGCCAGGATCTTTTTTACCTTTCCTGAAGTTCGCGTATGGTTTCGAAACTATGCTGGCTCCGGCTGACGAAGAAAGTGTCAGAATGGAGTTTGAGGAGCAACACGACATTCAGAAGTTGCGGAACTATGCATTCGCGCATGGTACTCGCAGGCGCAACGCTGAAGTTTTGGAAGCATATCACAAGAACGCCTGTCAGCGTCTCAGTACCTCCGATGGTAAAAAGGGCAGAAAGCATGCTGATCGAAGCGACGCTCTGCAAGCACACAGGAATGCGCTGCTAAAGCTTCAGGCTCACGAAGACAGCATCACACGTGTTCTTCGAGGTGACATTGACACCTCGACTAGCGTGAAAACTTCTCAACGAATTCGTTACAGACCAAAAGATGCGCAGTCGCAAGAGTTGTCTTCTCCACTACAAGATTCTGATTTGCGGACCACTGCTTTGGTCTCCAAGCGGATCAAATATCACTATCCTGCGGAGCCGATCTACTCAGTGAAGCCTCGTCGTTACAGTGGTGCTGGCAGTGCACAGGCTATGTCTCGAAGACTTCAAGCACATGTGCTGGACACTCATTGCGTGGATCTGGATATTCAGAACTGCTGCTTGACTCTTACTAATCAAATCCTGGAGAAGCTGAAGCCCAGCCCAGCTTTGCCAAAGAAGCTGAGTGAGCTGCTGTATGAGCTTGCTTACAAGCGCGATGATTTCTTTCGCAGAATCAAAGCACATCACAGTGAAGGCAAGGACCTGGTGAATATAGTGGTGAACGGTGGTCGCATACCTGACAACTTCAAGGACAACGAGGATGTAAAGTCGCTTCAGAAGCTTTCTCTATATCTCCGCTGGACAGCGTGCAACCTTCTTCATGGTGACTACCTGAGTCTCAAGGATGTCAAAAGCAAAACATTCCCTGAAGCTACTGTGTTTTCGCTGATGTGGCACGCAGTTGAAGATCGCATTCTTCAGTGTTGGTCCGAACACGTTTTGCAACAAGACCAGAAGCCGCTTCATGTTTCGCTGCACTTCGACGGAGTGCGAGTATCGCGCAATGTACACAGTTCTGCAAGTCTTGCGAGGAAGCAATTGAGCAGAAACTGTCCTTCAAGGTTAAGATTGTTCAGAAGATCGGGCGAGACTTTCTTTCTGGACTTCGAGAAAAATCAACTCCAGTTCCGCCTCGACAATCACTTCCTGAAGTCTGCGCTCAAGCCGGCAATTGCATACCGTGCGCTCTATGGCACACAGCTCCCGTTCTTCGCTGCAGTATCGTGTCTTCTCTTCAAGATGTGAGCCTCGACGCTAACAAGGAAGCTGCGGAGGTTGGCTACAGATCCTATCGCAGCGCGCAGGCTCTTTACAAGGCTGATTTAAGTTCAGTTATGGGTCTTCCACATGACAAAGTTCAATCCTTCATGCTTCATTCAGAAGGCAAAGGTCGTCCTCACTGCGTCGCAGTTCAATTTTCAAGTAAGAGGGACAGTGTTATGATCTTTGACGGAAAGCAAGGTTTCCGAGTGAGCGCTGCAGAGTTTCAAGAAGCTTTTGCAAGTGCAGTGGACCGCAGCACTATCGTGTCCTACTGGCCAAAAACGGCACACGAAGCAGATACTGCAAACAGTGACGAGCTTTTGGACATGGTCGCAGGCTGCAGTTCTGATGACGAGGG